TACTTCGTATTTTTTTAGATGGTAACTCAATGGTTAATCCAACCATATTTGGAGAATTTTGTTATTAGAATTAATCTAATAGGGCTGACATTTTATTGGTGCAGCAATGCCGCGCAAGGGCTATTTTCACTTGGAAACATATTGCTATCTATATTTCCAAGTGAAAATTGTTGTCACTGATGCATGACAACAGGCTGCTCGAACTGGGTATCGAACCCGGGACCTCTGAAACAAGTCCCGTCGCTCTTAACCGCTTACCTACGGGCGAGCCCAATAACAATAATTATTAATAAATAATTTTAGGATAGGTACTTCATCTATAAAAATACGAAATTTTTAGTATATTATGATACACAAAAATCGACGAATATCAAAATTAGGCTCACACATACATATACACACATACTTTATACTTTGGTCTTTTTCGATTCAGAATGGGTTGACACCTCAAAAAACACAAAATTAGCGAATCGGAATTTTTGGTGAACACAAACTTCTTCTTCGGAAATTAAAAAGTTGTTCCTAGAATAAATATGTAATAGTTTTACCTCATTTGCAGCCGATTAAAGTATTATCAAAGATGTTTTTGTCACATCCGTACATTCAGTATTTTCTAATGAGCAAAAATTGTAAGCGAATGTACTATGCAATTGATCATATCATTTGTAATTTGAAAATGAATAATTGTTTAGACACATGCATTTAATGCCGTAGTTTTTCAAACAAATTCTTCACTATTTCTATTAGTTGTTAGAATTGTTGTTTTCGTGTGAAAATTCTAGTTACTTCTCTCATGTCCTTCTCATGAACTTACTTAGTCATTATCTATCCGAGTATTATTTTAATCACTAAACGTGGGTTTAAGTTTTATTAGCTAATGATTAGCCGTAATAACTCGTAAATATATTCTAATTAATAGGTTCACTTTCATGATTATATACTTAACTGCATAGTAATAAAATTTTGTAATAAAATCACAACTGCTTGCATTGCGCAGAATTTATCGAACGATCATAAATAAATGGTAGATTTATTTAAATTTGAATTAAATCAGATTATTGTTAAGATTTATTTATTAATATGCTAGATAAAACTAAATTAAATAACAATTTGCATAAAACATGCTGATTATATTGCTGTAACAATATATTTAAATGAAATTTTCTAATTGATAATGTCGGAATATAAACATACTTTTGCATTTGATGGGATTTCCTGATAATTGGAATAAATGCTAATTAATTTAATTATGATATAATTTGATTAATTATTTTTATTAAATAAAAATTACTATTTTTGATGAAATTACATGACCAGTATTTGTGTTTGTATAAGTTTAAACCTATTTTCCATATTTTCATCAATTGTGATTGACAAATATATTCGTCATAGGAGAATGACAGAATACTCCCCATGCGTACAAATCTTTGATAATAGTCTATTTAAATGGCAATTTTTGAAAAGGAACAAAACAAAACATTTTTAAACTTCAAGATATTTTGAATATTTGGCTATTTTGGTAAAAAATAAAAAACTGAATAAATTCTGAATTGAGAGGAAATATATGTACATATATTTAATCGCATAGGTAGGGGAAAGTCCCCTAGTGGAGGACACTTAAGGTTATTTATAAATAAATAAAAAAACATTTCACGAAATGTTTATTCAATTATAATTTATGTTAGATAACAAAGTTAGAAATCAAACTAAGTTAACAAAACCGCAATCTTTGCTAAAATAATTAAAACTATCAATCAAACTTTGGTATTAAAAAATGTTATTTTAAACAGTGGCACTTAGTACCGGACATTTCAAAATAACCTGCATTGATCACATATGTAGCCATCTCCATACTCTGGAATGTCTGCACATGTATTTCGGCAAATATTCTGAGATATTGCAAAATAAGTCACTATTCATCTACCCTTTCGGCTGTGCAACACCGATGCTCTCAGCTGGTGCATTCATAAGCTTTTTATTCTTTGACAAGGAAATACGAAAAATGTGGGTATGTAGTGACTGTTAGCACTCATACAGAATAACGTTAAATAATTGTAATAAATTACGTAAATTGTCACAAAAAATATCAATATGTTTACTGTCCGGCGCTAAGGGTGATTTTGCGCCTAAAACAGGAAAGGTTTGCTCTCGCCGTGGCCGTGTGCGTCACAGGCGAGGCTTGATGCGTGATCCTGTACCTGTGTGCCCCCCATGCTCCTTCCACTTGTATTTTAAAGTGAAAAGATTTATACTCACTTAAATAATACGTGTTAAATAGAGTGTCCCGTGCTTGGTGCCGTCCGGCGTCACGGGACTTTCCCCTACATGTATGTGAGCTAAAATTTGATTTTGTTTTTTAAAAATACTGCATAGATTTGAAAAATGATGGAAGTTGATTACTTTGTGCGAGGATCCGCTGAGCCGTTTCTTTAGTTTTTTTTCAGTCTACATACGTACTGTATATATCGGTTCAAGTGTTTTGAATAAAAACAAAACAATAATTCAAAAAAGGGCACGTATAACAAAAGCGCCGCTCATTTTTGCATATTGTTCGAACTAGGGCTTCCAATACCGTACAAAAATCTGAATACCGGTATTCGATATTTGAAAAATGAAATTCCGGGATCCCGGTTTTAATACCGGTATTGTCGATGAAAAATTAAATAGTTATATTTTTACTTACTTCAGTTGTTATATTGACATATTAACAAATAATATATGAAATCTAACAAATATTGTGCTGAAATGAGTACATATTATTTATTTATTACATAAGGAGTAGAAGTAGAAACAAAAAAACGTGTCAGTAAAAAATATATATTTTTCTATGTTACATTTTACATTCTACATTTATAATAAGAATTAATTATTTATTAATATATTTAAGAAAAGAATAAATTATAATTCATGGCTAATGTTTTGCTTAATAAAATATGCTCTTAAGAAACATAAACAATCAATTGTTTGATCATCAAGCTCTTTCCGTCTTTCCGATTCTACACTTGTTGGTACAATTGTAATTAAGAAATTATACATATTTCGTAGGTTCGTTCTTTTTATTCCTGTTTTTTTTCAAAAAAAGTAATTTCATCTTTTAGTTTTTTTAACACACACACGGGTGAAGTATTTATTTTAATATTTTTTAATTACACACCAACTTAATTAACTTTGGTTTATATACTCACTTATAAATATCATAGGTTCAAATTAAACACAATATTTACACAATATTAAACACACTATTCTTCATATAAACATTTATTTTCCCGCAACTTTAAGATGTTATCTACACGAAATTTACACAACTGCCTACTTAAAGTTACATTTCGGCTTTATATAACATTTTATTTAGTTTAAGGGAATTCCCTTGATTTTGAATATGATCAATAGAGTTTTTTTATATGTGTGAGTGCAAGTCAAGTTATTACCCGTTCGGATTTCTCGGGAATTACTGCGATGTGTGCAATTCATCGATAAAAGATTATTACAATGTTGACTATTCTTATGTTGAATGCAATAGAATTGAGAATATGATTCATTACGTGGTGTGTTTCTACTATATTAGTTATTAATATTAACTAATTATAACAATACCCTTCGCAAATTCTCAAATTGTTGTCAGTGACACGCAATTTAAACAACTGCCGTTCTTACTTATGTAAAATGATTTATTTATAATAAATAAAGAATTATATCTCATCGATTGTATATTATGTTTAAAAATTATTGATAGTGAATTCGAAGTTACGAGGCACGTAAACGCATAATAACTTTTGTAAATGAACCCTTTTATTAGCTGGCCGTCACACATAATATATAATCAATCGCTTTATCTTGCCGACACCGCTTGTCGCTTATCTCACTTAGCTGAGTCAAGCATACAATACATAGTTTGGAAACTAAAACTTGATATGTATTTTGCGTAAGTTGAATTTTTGATAGAATACCGTAATACCGGTATTATTTGCATCAATACCGGTATTGAATACCGGACAAAAATCGTCCGGGATCCCGGTTTTCGGGATTACGGAATCCCGGTATTGTAAGCCCTAGTTCGAACAGAATTTCAGCAACTATAAATTAAATAAAAAATATTGTTTGATTTGTATAACTTTGGGTAAAGGATCCTATATTAAATTATTTCTCTATAACTCCCGAATAATTTTCGTACTTTATAAAGTACCCCAAATGTACACAATTAAATAGAATTTTTATTTCATAAGTTTTTGGCCATATGCAAAGCCACAGAGAAATTAGTGAATCTCTTTATTAGCAGTTTTATGATCTTCATTTTAAACAAGTACATTCTGTTTATTCCTATTCTTTTCTCAGAGATAAGATAATAACAAACAATTACGAATACCTGTTGGACTAGACACAAATGTGATAAATGACATTGTATGCAACTACAATAGACTTTGCAGCAATTGACCTAGTTTTTCATACTTCTAATATTTTCTTCGGAGGTAAACACGAATGATCACACTTGGAAAGAATATTAATATGTCACAGATGACATAATACCTTTGAAATAATATGAAATACTAGGAATTAAATAGAAACCGGTTTAATTATAAACATTTGTAAAATGAGCTTAGATAACAATCAATGTAAATCTGTACTATGTCAAATATATTTTTTTATATTCGATTTTTTGTTTGTTTTAAATCTACCCGAAGAAGTTCATGCTTTCACCAGAATATCCGACATGCTAATTGTATATTTTCCCACAATTTAAAAAATGCCATTTGGCGATCAAAATAGATCATTAGACATGTGCACATCAAATCTTCAAATTTTTTATAAAGATTTTGATAATAAGTACAAATTTACTCAAAAATCCATAAATTCTCAAAAATCTATTTTTGTAGAAGTTTTCAAAAAATTTTTGTTAACTTTGAGGAATTTTCCAAGACACGATACAATGCACCACTAGTTTATTTGGTTCTTGTCTATGGTATTAAGATGATTTTTATTAATCCTGTTGCATTAATATTTAGTTGGCTGCACAGGAAAGATATTCGGATTTCCAACGAGGATTATGGGAACATATCAAAGAACTAGACCGAGACAGAATTGATGATCCTATGATAAGACGTCAACTGAGACAGATGTCAATTGTTGGATCTTCAGCACTCTCACCAGATCAACTTGACAGGGTAAGACAAAAAATAATTTATAAATTTACAAGAATGAAATTAAAACAGTATTTTATTTATACTATTTTTTATTTATTAGCATTTGTTTTCTATTGACGTTCCAATAAAATCCATCCAATAATATATATTTGAAATTACGCACTATAATTCCTGTTGGGTAGGGCGGGACACAAAGGTTCAATTTGATTCTTAGTACTTTTACTGCAAAAACTAAACATTACAACAATTATTATATATTAAATTCAACTATCCAACTTAATTCAGCAATTCACTATTGTTGAAGTATGTTTTTTTTATAAATATTTTTGATAAAGTTTGTCATTTGATCCTTTCTACCCTATAGGTGGAGCAAAAAGAGTTAGTCAGAAGAAAAAGGTCAATTGTCTTATTTTTAATTTTTCTGATTTTTTCCGGAATGATAGCAATATTATTTAATTATTAATCAATGATTTTTTTTAATTTCACTAATTATTACAACTGCAAAATAATTAACAAATAGTATTATTGATAAATCATGACATAAATTTAAATAAATAAGAGTGCAAAGGATAGAATTTACTTTATTTAATTTAAGGATAGAAAATAATATCCGTAATATGATGATTTAATATAAAATAGAAGCAAATAATAATAAAAATAAAATTAATAAATAATATAAATAAAATTTCTGAATAATAAAATAATACCAGAAAAATAATACAATATAACAAAATAACAATAATAAAAATAATAAGATTAAGATTTTTTCGGAATGATAGCTATATTATTTAATCATTGATTTTGATGCTGCTTAATAATGTTTTGAAACAAAGTATATTTGTTTGATTAATATAAATGTTTAAATAATTTTGAACGCAGCAAATATGCACAAAATTTCTGAATCAATAACAATGATTATAAATTCATTAATAGTTAATAGAATATAATTTACAAGAACTACATGATTCAGAATATAGATTAATAACTTGTACATAGATGGAAGGCGTATTTATGATGCTCAGATATTGCAACTTCACCGGCGTATTTTTCATATATTTTAACTAACTTTTTAATTTCGAAATATTATTTTCGGAAATAATATTAGTAATTTTAAATTCGGGTATAATCGATTATGGTTGAAGGGGATGTGATAAAGCTATTTTTTGATAATGATATTGCGGATATTTTTGGCTTTGAGTAGAAACTTTAGGTCCATCCTGTCGTTGTGAATAAATTTCTTACCTTTTTAAGAACAGATATTAAAAAAATAAAAATTCAATATTAATGCAATAACATTGATACCGATTTAAAATTTTTTAAAGCATTTTCTCAGATATTTCTGAATATGTTACAGTGGATACGAAAAAAATGTTGATTGTTAAAAATATTTTAAATTACGTATTGGATAAATTATTATTATAATTTGTTGTCTTTTAACTTCAAATATTAAAAACGATCTCATTTTAATTAATGTCATGTCTTGCCATAATTAATAATTATTATTAATCAATTTTGATAATAATCATTATTATAATTATTGATTAATAATAAATTTTGTTTATTCACACAAATTTTTGTTTACAGAATATCAAATTTTAAGAAGTATCTACAATCAATCAATCAATCAATCAATTTAATTAATCCAAGACATCTAGGTATTGTTACGTAAAATATATTTGACTTTTCTTTGAGTATATTACTAAAATAATAATTCTCTATTATTCAACATATGCAGTTTCAATGTTGATCTTTAAGATATTTTTGTAATATTAAATTTATATTTTTGTTGTAAGACTTTTATCAACATAATGTTAATTAATTAATATTAACAGAATAAATACATTAATACCTAAATTTTATAAAAATGAAAATAATATCTACCAGAAAATAATATAAAAATGTTTAATATAATATAATGTAAAATTGAATAAGATTGAATTGGAAAATTTTGAAAATATTGAAAATTTATTTTTTAGTCAAAGAAGTAAAAATATAAATAAAATCATTTTTAATTTTTTACGATAACAAAAATTACTATAGTTAATTATTGCAACGGTAATAAATCAATATAATAACTTAATTATAGTTGTAAAAAAATGAATCAATCATTTTTATAAGTAATACAATATAAACTCTTTGTCCTTCTTATTCATGACTAATCACTAGACAATTCTTAATTACTTCAAATCTGTTTAGAAAGTTCACGAATAATTTCTGAATTATGATATAAGCTTATAATCGTTAAATAACAATTTAAATATGTTACAAAATCGTTACTCAATCGAAAAGTATTTAAATCAATTATACGCATTTAATACATATAATATATTTGCAAATTATTAGAAAAAATATTTACTAAAATTGTTTTAAATATTATAGTAGAGCAAAAATTTATAAATGAAATTGATTTATATTAGTTCATATTGATTGAAATTGTGCAATATAAACAATGAGTGTAAATGTGAAAGTAATTTGTAAAATAATTTCTAGAGTTACGCATTCATAAGAATCGCGTTTTAACTAGATATTCATTATATGATTAATAATTATTGGTAATATCTCATTTGGATATTACAAATCTATAAATTTACTTGAAGATAATTTAGACAATATAGCATATTTTTGGCCCTAATTATTTTCATACAATTTTTCCAAATATGATTTAAAAACTAGAACTTCTAAAATGAATTTTTAATTTTCTTGCTCAACCTAATAATCAAACATAGTCGCTTTGATTAAATAGTGTAAATACTATATCGTTATTCCCTGCTTCTATAAAAATAAAATAGTGGGTCTTTTTGCCCCTGGCCGTCCACTTTCACACCCCCCCTTATGTGGTAAATAAGACCAGGTAACATACTTTTGAAGAATAGTAATAAAAATCATAATTCAACTGATTAATTAGCAGGGGATCTTACTGAATAGATGTTCAATAGTTATTGTTTTTGTTTCTCAGTACCATTGCTGAAATTTAAATTAAACCTTTGTGCCCAATTCTACCCTATACAAGTTTTTAAATATTAGGAAGTGCTGATTTTAATAAATGTATACTCAGTTTTACGTTTAGTATAATTTTAATTCGGATTTCATATTTTGAATTGTTTAGTAATTTTGTTTTCTTAATATTTGTTAATAAAAATACAATTTTTTGCGCTATTCTTTCCGTTACAAGATTAGGGCTTGTTGTTACAGTTTTTTAACTTCCCGTAGGGCAAGTTATAGTAATCGCAAAAAATTCGAAATTGAAAATTTTTATATATCTTTACGTTTCAGAGGTTTATGAATATTTTGGCATACCTTAGGTGTATGTGTGCGTGCGTGTTTGTGTGCGGATACAAATTTTCGTTGACGATTTCGGGAACACGGATGAAGCGATTTGAATAATTCAGAAAACAATCGATTCGTATTGATAAGGAGACGTGCTGATTAGTTTTTGGCGAAGGCAGGTCTAGCCGTTCCGAAGATATGGGGCAAAAAGTGCCAAAAACGGTAACTCAGTTTTTAAGAGAACGGAGCGTCCGATTTGAATAATTCAGAAAACATTTTACAAGATGAAGAACTGATCAAATTTTCATGAAGACAGGTCTAGCGGTTCCGGAGATCTAGTAAAAAAGTAAATAAAATGCTATCTGGCGGTCAAAAATGATCTTTAGAAATATGCATATCAAATTATCAGAGATTTTATAGAGATAAATTTTGTTTATATTCTTATGGGTTCCGTACCAATGCTTATCCCGCTTCGATATTTTGTCTCTATGCAGTTTCAAAAAGTTCAGAATTTCCAAAATATTTCAAAATACACTTTTTTTCAAAAAGCCTTTTTTTTAAAAAAAAGTAAATTTTTGACAAAAATTTATAGTTCCTCAAAAATCTAATTTTTCAGAGTAAATTTTTTTCAAAAATATTAATCTTTTTTAAAAAAAAATAATTTTTGGTACGGGAAGTTCCAGCAATTTGCCTTAAGGCACGATGCCATGCGCCCCACTTGTTAACTTCCCGTAGGGTAAGTTATTGTAATGGGCCGAAAATCGGAATTGAAAATTTTTACATTTCTCGACGTTTTGAAGGTTTCTGAACGTTTTGGCATACCTCAGAAAAAATGGATGTGTGTGTGTGTGTGTGTGTGTGTGTGTATGTATGTGTGGATACAAATTTCCAGTCACGTTTTAGGGCGCACGGATCAACCGATTTGAATGGTTCAAAAAACATTCGATTCCTATTGATTGGGAAAAGAGCTGATTAGTTTTTGGCAAAGGCAGGTCCAGCCGTTTTGGAGATACGGAGCAAAGAGTGCAGAAAATAGAAATCGAATTTTTGAGCGAACGGAGTATCCGATTTGAATGATCTAAAAAACATTCAATTAGTAATGATTGGGAGAAGTGTTTATTAGTTTTTGGCATAGGCAGGCCCAGCCATTTCGAAGATACGGAGCTAAATATGTAAAAAATGGCAGTTTTTGAGAGAACTAAGCGTCCGATTTAAATGATTCAAAGAACTTTCTGCTTGTCTTAACAAAATAATTGATTTTGAAAAAAAAATTTTGTTCCGTTTATTTTTTTTTTTAGTATTTTGTATATCGAAAATATTTCAGATTTTATTTTTAATTCTGACTATAGTTCTAATATACTTTAGAAATAATTTCAACTCTGCAATTCGGTTTATATAATTCTTATAAATATTACACAATGTTACAATATTTATAATAATCTATTTGAAAACATTCAGTATTCCTCGAACATTTCGTTACGGTGCGGGAAGTTCCAGCAATTTGCCTTAAGGCACGATGCCATAATTGCCTCAAGACAGAATTCCACTTACAGCTAGTTTTAAATTAATATACCATGAGATCCAACAACTATATATGTATAAAATAAAGCTAGATAGATCTAAAACACAATTTGGTTTTCACAAAAAATGTCACACATAATCAAAAATTTATGATTTTGAAGCAAATTAAGAGACCGATTCTGCCGCATAACAGAAAAATGTTATGACTAGACCATGTTATGAAGAACTTTCCATACTAAATATTGACAAATAAAAGTCATGTGGTTGGTGTGTAGTCAGGCGTATTTCTCAGGTTGTCTGATAAAAGAGAAGACTAGCTGTAAGTGGAATTCTGTCTTAAGGCAATTAAGGCATCGTGCCTTAAGGCAAATTGCTGGAACTTCCCGTACTAAAAATTATTATATTTTTAAAAACGATTAACATTTTTGAAAAAAATTTACTTCGAAAAAATAAGACTATAAATTGGACAAAAAATTACTTTTTTTTGAAAAAAAAAAACTAATCAGCACTTCGTCTTATCAATACGAATCGAATGTTTTTTGAATTATTCAAATCGGTCGATCGGTGTTCCCGAAATCGTCGACGAAAATTTGTATCCGCACATACATACACACACGCACATACACACACACACATACATCGATTTTTTCTAAGGTATGCCAAAATATTCTGAAACCTTTGAAACGTCGAGAAATGCAAAAATTTTCATTTTCGATTTTTTTGCGATTACTATACCTTGCCCTACGGGAAATTAATAAAAAACGATGTTAGATAACAGTTTTTTTCTTACTCATATTCATAAAATACGAGTGGCATTGTAGTTTATGAGTAAAACGCATTAATGCACAGCAATTACATGACATTTTGATCATAGTTCTTTTAAAAGTCATATAACACTATATATTTTATTCCCAGTACAATCGTTTAATAAACGACATGCTGGCCATATACAATTCTGCATCTGTCTGCGCCTACAACGAACCCTTCCGTTGCGGTTTGCGACTTCAACCTGATTTGAAGCACATCATGGCGACCAGCAGGGATTGGGACGAACTTCAGTACCTTTGGCAAGAATGGAGGAGAAGGACCGGCCAAAATGTTCGTGATCTTTATGAGCAATTAGTGGATTTGAGCAACGATGCAGCTAAACTTAACAGTTGAGTATAATTGATTTAATTAATCACTTGAATGATTCCAATATCAAAAAATTAAAAGTGCAGTATTTTATAAAAAAAAGTACTAGTTGTAGCTTAAATTATCGATTTCATAAAAATGTTCATCTCTATTTTGATTTTTTCGGTATAAAATAAATATAAATATTATTCGAACATGTTTCGAACAAGATGGTAAACAATTTATGTTCCATGAAACATTAAATTGCCCACATTAGTATATCGTATAATTCTTTTGAGTTTTTTGATTGAATTCTTTAGGTTTTTATACATATCCTAAATTTTTATTAATCCTCAATTTTCCAGTAACTTTTATGAATTATTTTTATTTTTATTATTTTGAAGATTGTATAATTATTTATTTAACAAATTAATTTTGTTCAAAAATTTCTGTAAAAGATTAGTGTAATTATATAAAACTTGAAAATAAATAAATACTTGAAACTTCTAAAATAAAATATTTGAATATTAAAATTGATTTGAATTAAAATTGAATACCAAATGAAATGTAAGGGCTCGCCCGTAGATAAGCGGTCCTTACCCCATTACAGAGATTGTAATAAAAAAAAATTATCATACAGAGATGTGACAACTGATTGGGTTGCCATCTGTAATAAAACAAACGTAGTTTGAAAGATATTGATGACAACAGCTAGAACCCATAAGTTCTGATCGCTGTTCAAATAAAATTATAATAAGTGAAATGTAATACATGAGAATGATATTTTCGTCAGAATATGCGATTCGCTAATATTGGTTTCTTGGCGCTTCAATTAAATACTCAAGAGAAAATGAGAAAATGAATAATTTTAATATAAAAATTTTGCCACAAATCTCTGGTTTTATTTAATGATAACACAGAATCTAATTAGAATCTATGCCGAATGTACATACATACCTTCCGCATTTCGTAGGTAGCTACTGATTATAGTTTATGTATGAACTTGATAAAATATAATTTAGAAACACGAAATGAATAATATAAAATGTGATATACAAATTACAGACCTCATAAGTAGGTAGATATGTTTCAAAAATAATCAATTGAAAATTTTACGAACAAATTGAAAATTGTTTTTAAAGAAAGCGAAATTCTAATTTTCGAAATATACAGTTGAATCTTTTTTCTAAATAGCTAATTCTAATTCTTGTTAATAAAGTCGATCGTTTACATGTATCGGAAAGTTCATGCAACTTGCCTTGAGGCAAAAATCATACTTTCAACTAGTTTGTAGTGTTTTTATTACAAACTATTCGTCATTTTCTTTTCGATTTTCAAAATTTTAAATCCATTCGAACTAACTCGATAAACAGAAAAGTATAAAAATTGTTTCTTTGAAATTTAGTAGAAGAGATAAAAATCTTCGTTTACGCTTTATTCCGCATTATTGGTATTCATTACAATTTTGATGAAACTTTATATAACAACAGATTAGTTTGAAATAACATACTAAATTATTATAAACCTACGATAAGCGGTTAAACAGTGTTTCGTATGTAGCTACTGATTACAGTTTACGTCCACACTTAAAGAAAATATATTTTTAGATCACGAAAGAGATTAAACAAAAGCTAATATAATGATTACAGTTTATCTCAAAACTTAAATAAAACACATTTTGAGAACACGAAATAGATGAAACAAAAGCAACTGATTACAGTTTACGTTTACACTTAAATAAAATGCATTTTTAGAACTCGAAATAGCTAATTCTAATTCTTGTTAATAAAGTCGATTGTTTACATGTATCGGAAAGTTCATGCAACTTGCCTTGAGGCAAAAATCATACTTTCAACTAGTTTGTAGTGTTTTTATTACAAACTATTCGTCATTTTCTTTTCGATTTTCAAAATTTTAAATCCATTCGAACTAACTCGATAAACAGAAAAGTATAAAAATTGTTTCTTTGAAATTTAGTAGAAGAGATAAAAATCTTCGTTTACGCTTTATTCCGCATTATTGGTATTCATTACAATTTTGATGAAACTTTATATAACAACAGATTAGTTTGAAATAACATACTAAATTATTATAAACCTACGATAAGCGGTTAAACAGTGTTTCGTATGTAGCTACTGATTACAGTTTACGTCCACACTTAAAGAAAATATATTTTTAGATCACGAAAGAGATTAAACAAAAGCTAATATAATGATTACAGTTTATCTCAAAACTTAAATAAAACACATTTTGAGAACACGAAATAGATGAAACAAAAGCAACTGATTACAGTTTACGTTTACACTTAAATAAAATGCATTTTTAGAACTCGAAATAGATGCAATAAAATGAGGTAAACAAATTAATTTATTTTATACAGCTACAAACATTATAAATTACAAAAAGCGTAAATTTCATTTTTAAAAGAAACATTTGAACATATTATTTGAATAGCTGAATTGATTAATTTGATTATGTATACGTATCGGAAAGTTAATGCACCTTTCCATAGGGCAAAATGCTATTTAGAACTAGTTTATAATACATAAACAGCGGCAAAAATTTAAACTTTGATGAATTTTTATAATTCCTACAATATATTAGTATGTTATTTCAGATAGAGAAATCTATCTTTAGAAAGTTTTATCCTAATAGTCAAATAACATTATTCAACATTTATTACAAAGAAATGGCCCGGTCGGATTTTATCAAAAACTAATCAACGTGATTTCCAACTAATATCTTCCACATAGTTTTAGAATTTTTAAAATCCGTTCAAGATTGCCACCTAAAATATGTACAAAAAATTCATCCTTTGAGAAACGCCATTCAAAATATATACAAATACGTACTAATACGTTTATAATTTATTATAATATTCGGATTTGATGTTAAATTAAAGTGCTGGTTATAACATATATATAATATATATATAATATAACTTAAATAATAATAATACATTATAAATATAGTAATACTAACGTATATTTGTAATATCATCTAAATCCGCGAAATAGAGAACTTTATATAATTTATGTCATAAAAATATAGCACTTTTAATAAAATCGGAGTTTATCTAACTTTTATTGATCCCATCTTAATCTTCATAATAAAACTTATTTCTTTATATACACTTTCGTTTCTTTTTCTGCTTCATTACAAATTAACCTACTAATACAATGTAATATAAGCTTGTAACTGAATAAAAAATTATACATAATTAAACCAGTGTGATTATCGGTCAGTCAACTCTGATGTAATTTAAAATTTAATATACGAAATATTTATGATTTTTTTTTCAACTTTATCACGGTGTTGTGCAAAAGTATTATAAAACAAATTTAGAAAACGACTAATTCAAATAGTTGTTGGGTCATTAACCATATTAATTAATGTAGGGATGAGAAAATTGTTAACAAATTTTGTTGATTATAAAAATATATATATATGTAGTTTGCACTAACACACATTTCATAATAGGCTTTAGATTATATTCAATTCATATTTTAGTAAGTTTTTGATAGGTAGCTGTCAACTTTTAATTCTATTACACAAATAAAGTATTATACATTCTTTAACGAAAAACGACCACAAAGCTAATACATACAGAGAGTATTTTCAATCAAAACTTCAATAAATTTTTATAATGAAATCACCTATCGCATGACTCTTTTATGAATATTTTAGTATGTTCATTAAGACCAGAAGCTCTATCTCTCTATATATAGTTAAAATCACAAAAAAATTAAACAAACTATTGTCAAAAGACTACACTAGAACCTTTAACTTATAACTATAGCCGTCGAATAGTATTTGAGTTTTCAAAATCAGTTCAAATTTATAGAGTAAACGCAGACAAAAAGTTTTGCACTTTTCTTATAATTCTAATGAAACTCGTTCAATTGTCTCGAAAAACTAACCAGTGCCAGTGTCTATCAATATCTGTCGAATGCCTTTTAAATTTTTAAAATCAGTTTAGAGGTTTATTTTATCAAACTTTTATAAAAATTCAACTTTGAACGACTTTTTGTAGGTCCTAATATTTTTGTATGTTGATGATTATGATTATTAAATGTTTCCTCAAAATCATTGAAAAGAATTTTCAACAATTAATTACGAAAAAAACGTCTTTGCCAATCTCTACCAAAACTAATAAGCTCGATTTTCAATGATTATCTTTCGAGCAGTTTTTAAATTTTTAAAATCGATTCAGAAATTTTGGCTAAACGGACGAATTTTCTCACTTTTTTGCTTACTCTAGAAAAGTAAACTAAAATGTCATTTAATTTAATAATAAAATTCAAATCACAAATAACTGCAAGTAATAAATATTATAATATCGTGCAGCACGTTGAGTAATCCATAAAATGAAATGCACAATTGCATGATCATTTTATATAAACGCTAAATAAGGATAGCGATCGTGCAGTTATGTTAACTTATTATTGAATTCATTAGCCTATATTATAGATATAGATTAATTTTTTCTGCATAAATACTAATTAACGGTTTACAAATTGACAAAAAATCTAAATTATTTGATATAGAGCAATATACGCTTTAAAAGTTTATTAAACAAGTTAATAGTTTTTCATTAAAATAAATCGATTATACATTTATTAACATTATTTCGTTAACATTAATTTATTAACATTATTTCGTTTATTAACAGTTTCAAACTGTTCAAAACTATAAATTAAGGTTTGTAATATCCATAGGCGTGTGCCTTGGCGGGGCTTTGTATAAAAACTTGTTTGGGGCCCTTACTAAGTGTAAAGAATTTTCACAAAATGAAAAAAATAATGCACAAAGTTAAAACAAATATTTAATCATCATCAATAGGGTTGAGCGAGCTTAGAAGCCGGTAACAAGATTCACCACTCATATCTCAAAAACAAGTAAAGTTAAAAGTTTTTTCAACAATGTTTGAAAGTAGTGGGAAAAAGTTGTATTACCAGACATCAGCTTGATTCTTTCGACGTTGTTATCGGGATATGAACGGCAATGTATGAAAATCCATAACAAAAGTATTCTCTTTCATTATTAGTTTTTTCGGTTGTGAACACTGTTGTATAATTACGAGATCTTAATATAATTTGTAAGTTTGTTATTTGATTGTTTTCTAAGACATGTTATTTCTAAGTTAGATTCAACAGTTTTTTCAATATAACCTATTTAATACGTTACATGTGGGCGGGGTAAAAAAAACTATCTTAGCCCATTACAATAACTTACCCTACGGGAAGTTAAATATATCTACAATATATGTTGTATAAATTAACTGGAAGTTCTACTGAACATAGTCTGATAGCTGTTTGTTTCAAAGTGTTATTTGTTGTGATATAATTGATTTATTTTTCATAATATAATTGCTCAAAATTCGTCCAATATTTGTACAAATTTTTCAGGCCACTTTTCTTGGCCTTTTATCAACAAACTGATCCATTAAATCATTTATAGCTGATGTCGACTATACTTATTCTTAATTTACTTTCTGGAGAAGTAAACTAAGGAAGGTTTTAAGTATTTTTTTATAAATCACAACCAATTGCATCTAACGATGCTACTCAAATCGCAAAGGCTCAGAAATCTGTGCTTAGTTTGAGAAATTAATAATCTTGAATAGCAATTGCATACTTTAACTTCGACATAAGATTACGGGCCTAAAATTCTCTTATATTGTGATAACACACAAAAAATAGTCGTTACCTCGATATCTTCCATTCATTTGATTATTTTTTGGACTCATTTATCAAGTTTTTGATAAATGTTGATTTATTTATTCACAGTCAAATGAAAGAAATTAATAAAATACTAGTCAACTAACACTTAATGAAATACTATATACTACTAGAAGTCATAATTTGCATTCTGAAGAGCTTGCACACGGTGATCAAATCAAATTTAAGATCGGATCGGTTCAATAGTTTAGGAGTCCACACCAAGCAAACATTGTGATCTAGACTCTATAATATATACATACACACACACATACACACACACACATATATATATATATATATATATATATTACACGTGTATGTATCAATCTTATCCACAAGGTAAAGTTTATGCATATCAAATGTTCTGATCGTGTGAGATCTTTAGTGCTTTCACTTTCACGAAGTCGTTAAGAGAATAATTGTTCACCATGAAAAATATGCAACTATCGATTGTTTTTAGAGTTAATATAAATAATATATAATATTATTTTCATATAATTTTTAATTTCTTTATTAATAGGTTTTTACACTTAATGTATGACATCATTCAGTAAATCAAACCAGGAAAATAACTTTGTTCTTTTTCACATTAACAAAAATGTTAATAAAATTAACAATGCAGATACAAACTGCATTCTGTTGATTTTTTCTTAAATCTTGTATAATTGTACAATAACCATTAGTTTTGCAGAACTTAATATACCTTATTTGGAAATGCTAATGGAATCAAGATAGTTATGAATAGTATTGATTATATTAATGGTATCGTTACAATTTTAATTTTAACTGTTAATTATGAAGAAAAGCCTTGACTATTATTCTGCAAAATCAAACTTTTATCTATCACTCTTACAGATTTTACGGACACTGCCGAATATTGGACGTTTCCCTTTGAATCAGCATCTTTCCGGCTGGAAGTCCAGGATGTTTGGCAGGAAATCAGACCTCTATACGAGTTGCTCCACGCCTACGTCCGGAGACGTCTCCGGGAACTTTACGGACCGGATAAGATTAGCCGGAATGCACCATTGCCAGCCCATGCACTTGGCGATATGTGGGGACAAAGTTGGAGCAACATTCTTGATGTCACGATACCATACCCAGGAAGGAAGTTTTTAGATGTCACGCCGCAAATGATAGAACAAGTATGATCAAGTGTTGTAATAGAGGATAATAAATAGTATCGCATATTAAAAAGGGAAGAATGTTATTATATAGTTTTCGTAGTTATATCTGGTCATATGACCAAATTTCAAATGCTAGTGGTATTTTGCCCTAAGGCTAGTTGCAAAAACTTTCCGATATGCGTATATAATCAATTTAAAGTGCACAAACTAAGATTAAGATTTACCTTTTAAAAACCGTGGCTACAGAATCTCTATTATCATACTAAAATTGACAAAAAATTTTGATGAATCACGTAAGGAATTATTCCAATAAAATGACCAATAACTAGTCAGAACAAATCCCAACTCATACTTTGCGAATTTTCAAAATTTTTAATATCGGTTTAGGATTTTTTGGCGAAAGGCCCGTCCGACGGCACAATAAACTGTTCAATATAGATTCTTATCGAGTTTCATTAGATGACTTATGAACTATGAATTATTTATTCGGTGAAAGGTCAATAATTGAGTTGCTGTTGCGCCAAAAAATTTGAACCGATTTATTTATTTATTTCAAAAAATGATCCAAAAAAATCACTGGGGAAGAGTGTTGAAGAATTTTTATAGAGATTGTCAGGACAATTTCTTTGTAATTAATTTATCTGGTTGACAATTTTTATGAAAAATTGTAAGATAAGAGTTCGTCTATGATATTATAAACCCTATCATGAATAGTGATTTAATTATATAAATTCATCAAATTTTAAAATAACGAGTCGTGTCAAAATATCATTATACCATCGTTACTATTTTTAAAGTTGCTAAATCTAAATTCTTGTTGATTAAATCGATTATATACATAAATCAAAAATTTCATGCAACTTGCCCTAGGGCAATACACAGCTTATTAGAATTTAAAGTTTAAAAATAACCTCACCACTTTTTAACGTTATTAATAATAACACTTCCGACGGTATTTCAATTAACGTGGGAATTATAACATAGGATTCCAACAATTTCAACAAATATGATAAATAAAGATTAGTCGCAGTTTTATGACTACAAACTTATGCAATTACTCTCCATAAGAAACCTAATATAGTAATATAGTAACATAATATAGTAATTTTATCCAAAAATTTGCCACTTTTATAATATTCTTATATACTTACTACATCATGTAAATAAAGGTACTCAAACGTTTAGTATTTTCAAAAATTAACAATTTGTCGTCACTTAACAATTTTTGCACTTATGATAACACCTAGGCGTAATCGATGTCATATTTTGACATTTGTGCCATTTGGAGGTTATGGCATATAGCTATATTAGAGTATATTTTCTGCTCTCAGCGTAGCACTTTTTAGAATCCCTACTATTAGCTTAGTTTTTACATTTATTTATTCTATTAATTTTGTCGATTTAAATTTGCCAATTTGCTAATGGTCAAAATATAATGAATAAATAAAATTTAATATGCTTCCATACTATGTTCCGTATTAAGTTCGTATATAAATAATTCAACGTTTTGTTGAATCAAAACAATAATATAAACAATTCTATTATAACTTACTAATAATAAATTATCGTCTAGGGATACACACCTGCAACGATATTTCAATTAGCGGAAGAGTTCTACGTATCAATGAACATGACTCCGATGCCAGCCAGTTTCTGGGAGGGGTCCCTTCTGCATCAGCCTCTGGACAGACCGGTTCTCTGCCAGCCGTCGGCCTGGGACTTCTGCAATGGCAAAGACTACCGGTGAGTTACATGGTAACACGTACAATGCAAGTACAAGTGTAAGGACAGGTTGTGATCGATGGTAATAATGGATATTTCAAAGAACAGCAGTGGTGTAGTATTTGGTTTGATAGAGAAAGTACTCTTATATATATATATATATATATATATATATATATATATACTAGCTGACCCGGCAAACGTTGTTTTGCTAAATAAGGTATATTCTAAGCCATTTCTAGAGAATCAAAAATATTAATACTTTTGGTGCATAAGAATGTGTTGTTTGAATGCTGTATACAATTAGGTATTATAAAAACAATAAACCCCATTAGTTTGTCTATATTAGTGTATAAAACTGCAAGTTTTATACACTTTCTATAGAAAACATCGTATAATCCAATCTGAGTCTTTTTTGGTCTTTCGGCTCATTAATTACGTTTCAAGTTTTTCAGATTCTTTTTGGATTCTGGATTTTGTGTATAATTGTAAATAATACTACTGAGCTTATACAAAATTTTCAAATTTCTGCGAGGAGAGATAAAAAATGAATTAAATATTTCTTCTTTGACCTGCTTTTTGAAAAGTTTCAAGTTACATTCGATGAATTAAAGTAAATTTAATAAAAAAAGTATATATGTAGAGCAGGGCGAGGAACAAAGGTCCAATTTGACTTTGAGCAAATATATTGTGCTTTGATAACTATATTGTGAAAACCATAACAATTATATCACAACAAATAAGACATATCAAACGAACAATTATCTGACTACGTTCAGTAAACTGACTTCTACTTCATCATTGTAGAAATGTGCTTTTTTGATGTCTTCCAAAAACTTTCTCTGGATTGGCACGAATTTTTCAAGACTAAGACTGGCCAAATCGATTCAGCCGTTTTCGAGTTTTATTCGGACATTTGAAAGAGAACTCCATTTTTATATATAAGATATATATATTTGAATAGTCTTGAATTTGATGTTAATATATTATGTTTAATTTAAGTTAAAAAGTCGGGCGTTACATCATTGAAAATAGTATGAAAGTTATTAAAAATTTATTTATTTAAAATCCATACGTTTCGGCTAGCATCTTAGCCTTCATTCAGTCGTAATCAATTTACCTCTAAAAATTAAAAGTAAATAAGTAATATGTAAAAAATTTCATAGAAAAACAATAATGATAATTTTGTATCCTAATCTAACATATGAAACCATTATTAATCCATGGTATGAGTAAGTGCACATTGATAAAATGTATATTTTTTAACATCACAGATGGAAAAACACACAAATAAACATGATAACAAGTTGCCGAAACTATGTATTTACTGCTCGGAGTTTAAGATAGAAATGTCACATTGTTTCTTAAAGCAGTTTTTAGAATGTGTTCAAAATTTACGGGAAATTTAAAAAGCGATGGGATCTTGTCATTTTTTAAGAAATTTTGATACGCTATTAAAGAACCACATGTTTGTTTCGTTCAGGGCCGTGTTTTGCATTTTGACAATCGAGACAGCCTGACATCGTGCAGTTGCAATGTCCATTTTTACTTAAAAATATAGATCACAAATATTTTTCCAATTGAAAATAGCCCATTTCAGGCACTGCGGTGCGCAATTGCAATGTGAAACTTCTCACACATTTTTTCCTGAATCGAGTTATAGTTTAACGAAGCTCACAAACCTGACCAAGAACAATACTATCTATTATTATTATTAAATATTGATATAATGATATAATAGGAATCCTTCAAAACACAGGAATTCAACCAGATAATATTTCAATTAGTAATGCAAAAAACTAAAACATGTTTTTAAACGTTTTTTTAATGAATTTTTATACGTTTTGAGTCCTAATTTGACACTTTTTCAGCAGATAAAACAACCAAATTTTTCAGGCTCTAAATGCAGAAACATGTTCAATAAAAATAGTAATTCAAAAACAACCAATAGAGAATATTCAATTTTAAAAACTAAATAATAATGTCGGCCATCATCAAAAACAGTCGACTATTTCAGGAAAATCAAGACAATTTTTTTTTCGATTTTTTGGTTGTCTCACAACTTCAACATATTCTTGAATATCGCTGTTATGTTATTTCCTAGACTAATATTTACAGAAGAATTAGAAAAAATATTCTGTATATTATATAGTTAAGCTTTTATTGATAGCTAGTATTATATTCGATTTTTCTGAGCATTGATCCTCCGTTTTTTTTTATAATACTTTTATAATTTAATTTTCTAAATATGGTAGAGCGGGGTTTGAAGAGTTGCTGGTAAAGAGGTCAGGCATTAATATCTCAAAAATAAATAAAGTGAAAATGCTTTTAACAACAATATTCAAAAGTAGAGGGCAAAAAATGTAAAACCAGCCTTCACCTTGATTCTTGCGACGTTGCCATCAAGAAATGAACGCAAAATTTCAAAATCCATAACCATAAGTATTTTATTTTATTGGTAGTTTTTTTTACTGTGAGCACTGTTGTTTAGTTTACGAGACCTTACACTTCTTTATCATCATTTATTTGTTCTATAAGATATTTTGTTATTTTTAAGTTAAATTTAACAATTATTTTATATAACGCATTATTATTTTATATAAAAGCATACACGTGTGTGAGGTAAAAGAAAACAACCAAACCTTTGACCTGGCAAAAATGTAAACAGTTTAGAAAACAGCTAGAAGATAAAAATTGTAAATTAGGCTAAAAAGTAATATCGCAAGAGATAAATTAAATAAATAAATATTCAAACTCTGCTGATGATTATTTCTGATAAAATACCAAATCAAGGTTATATACTGTGTTATCTTTGGCAAGAATAAACCTTGTTTTATATCTTGTATTGCTTAAAAATTTAGCTATTTTTTCGTAGAACTCATCTGAAATTAAAAATAAGACACTGGATTATTTAATTTTGCAAGACCGTGCAACTTTCTGCAAATTTTAAATGTTTTTCTTAATACAGTATTTTAGTGTATACCAAACATATCAATTTTAAAATATTAAATATGAAATATTATGATAAATTCAGTTAAATTTGCTGTTGTTTTTATATAATATTAATCAATTTACTATATCAAAATTAAAGTACTACTAATTTTTAGCATAATTACTCCAAAAGAGAAATGTAGAATGTTCAAACAATCAAACCGTAAATAAAATTTTAGAAATCTCCAGTTTCAAATCAAACAGCTCTGCATAAAAATTATAAATGCACTGAAAATTATAATCTGACCGCTAACCTGAGTTGTATATCATAATGGCGAGAGTTGCACGTATTTTGCTCCATAAAGTGTATCAGATAAGAGAAACCATAATATACTTGTTCTATCTACTCACATGGTCATTAGAAATGCATTGGAATTACATTTAAAGCCCAAGCTGTTTACAAATAAATTCCGCTGTTCATTATATTATCTAGGAAATCGACTTTTTCGCTAAAAATAATTATACACACTTCTCGTTTTGAATCATTCATTTGTGGAAAGCTTGCGATAAATATGAGATATTTCATTATTATTTTATTTTATAGTTTGCTGCTAATTTCCTGTAACGCCCAGTTGTAATAAATCAGATAAACACGAAACCTGCAGATACTTTGGAAACAATTTATCTATTGCGATGGATAAATCAATGAATATATTAAACGTATAGTAATTTTTAAATTTAGGTTTAAATCAGATATACATACATATAAGTCAGATCAAAGAATCATTATAAGTCATAATTTAACTAATTGATACACAAATATTATAGTTTAACATTACAATTTTTTACAAGTTAAAACATGATACATTACTAGTAGAAAAACTAAGGAATTAATATATCTCGAGACTCATTGATTATATATCTTAGAAATAAAATGGATTATTTGCAACTACAACTATTTCTTCACCAAATCCAATTATACTAATTCAATGAATACTCAATAGACACCTAAGATAGAATGGGCCAGGAAATGACAAAAATTATAAGATTTTAAGTATCATGCAGAAAAATTACTATTTCGGAGATTTTGTCGCTTTTTCAATAATTTTTCAATTTTTTGCCATTTTTGCCATTTGACCCTCAATTTTGACTTCAGATTTGTGTTCAAGGGTAAAAACTACATTAGAAAACATATACCACACACCCAATACAGACAACCTCTTTATTTTGTGGACCTGTGTAATTTAACAAAATATTAATAAAATTGACTTCTTTCGAAGTACATATTTCTTTACATACACAAGCGCAAACTATAATTAACACAAATGAAATATATAGTGTCTCTTGTAATATAAATTTTTATCAAATCAACGTAATTTACATGTGCCCACATCTAACAAACTATACGTTCCAGTCAATCTTCTTCAATTGAGTCTGTATATATTTCTTATATGTTATAACTACTCTCAAAGTTTTGTTTCAACTAACCCCATTTAAACAATTTAGCAATCATAAATGTCTAAACAATATCAAAGATTTATAACTTGAAGCAAATTAAAATATATAAAATATATAGTATTCAAAATTAGTCGGTAATAATAACGCAGATCGAATTTTCATGATAGATCATTGTTATATTACCTGCCAAAAATGACGGACCTGCACAGTTCTGTTTATTGACCTATGCAGGACGGTTTACATATCCAATGGAAACAGAAAATATTCAAATTTCGTTCAAGATCGTATTAAAAAACGCCCGTTACCAGTTACCCTTATTACAAATAGCCCCTATCTTTCCAGTACAGTATACGCAAGTAAATAATAGCATAATTATAAATACAATTAATATTAATTATTACGATTGTGAATTCAACATATTGTTGTTCGTTTGGTCCCCTTGTTTCTGATAGAAAATCCGATTTGCTAATTTTATATTTTCTTGACGTTTCAAGTCGATCTAAATCATTTGACTTTTGATATCTTTCAAAAAGACACTTATATTAATAATATTTGTAAATGTATCAAAAGCGCAACATCATTGTGTCAAATTTCAATGAATTTTTATAATCAATCTTTTTCGTGGGTCTATAATATTTTGATATGTTTGTTTTGAGAACATAAACTTCATCGTCGAATTAAGTTTCATTAAAAATGTCAATTTTTATCATCAATTTTTGAAAAAAGAACTACGATTCGCAAGATGTCTTTAAATTTTTAAATTTATTGAAATCTTCAAAGCCTGTTCAGGATTTTTTGAGAAAACGTGAACGAACATTTTGCAATTTCTGCTTATTATAAAGTTTTGACCGGTCTTACAAAACTAATGAACACAAGTCTTTATTGAAATAATTTGAAGGGCTTTTCAAATTGTTTTAGGGGGCGTCCATTAATCACGTGATCGACTTTTTGAGGATTTACCGCCTCCTTCTTGGTGATACGTGGTGATATTCAAAATTACCCCCTCCCCATTAAAAAGTGGTATAATTTGTTTATTTTTGATAATATTTGATTTTTTTTAAATCAGGTAAAAAATGAATACACGTGATATCTTACTAAAACCTCCCTCCCTCCCTAAGACTTCTCGTGATTAATGGACGCCCCCTTAGCCATTTTTGGACAAAAAAAACGTTGACTAAAGTTCATAAATCAGCTCCACAAACAAATTACGGTCTTACATTGAAACATTGAGAAAATATAAATTTAGCGAGTCGAATATTCTGACAAAAACGACATATTAAAAAGTTAAAAATAACTATTCGATGATTTGATTTTTAACTAATTAATTTACGGCGCTGGATCGTCAGATTTACTATCAATCATTTCCGAATTTTAAAAGGTCGTCGACATAACTACGTCAATGGAAAATACATAACCGTGTATATAAAAATGAAAACTGTTTCATAACACAAAAGGCATAATAAAAAGGTGGACTAACAAATATTACAACTCTATGCATTTTAATTACAACACACACGATACGGTAACTATGTTAACTTTCTATAAGCGTGAAATGTTAGAACGAAATCTAATTGGCAAATAACAATACAGACATCGTCTTGTGTGTAAAACAGAAAATCAACGAGCGGAAATTTAATTTATGATGCCTTTTAACTAAGATACATCGGATTAAGAGCAAGTACTTAGTACATCATGGTACATCCACATTGTCGGATCCACTTCTGTGATCTTCTTGATTGAGCTATCTTAATAATTATCAAATGGTGCAAAACCGCAACGGCACTGACCTTTTTATAATACAAATGCTGTGCGCTCTGAACAACCTGATATGATGCTGTTACTGTATCACTTAAAGATAAACATTTAAATATTTTTACCCTTCACCTATTCAAAAATAATATATCAGTAAATCGGAGCCGCATTCTGACGAAAACGCACCTTTTGTAAACTTGACATTATTGTGTATGTTATTCAATTTGTTATATGTATATGAATTTGCGAACAAAATGTTGATAAATTACAAATTGCACCACATTTTTGCCATATTAAAAAAATTATGGAATTCAAAAAAGTGTTTCATCACTGATTAGATTTATTCTTTGAATTAGGCGAACTTACAGGCCGCATCTGGTTTTTAAAAACTTATGGTCGGCCGCACTTATTTATAATTTACAGAGCTTAATATATACTAATAAACATTATAATATGAAAATACAAAATTATAAAAAATAAGTAGCTACAAGAAATGAATATTTTATAATAAAATTCTCCTTAAAAAATAATTGGCTTGGATATTTGAAGGGCCGGATGAAGCCTGCGGGCCGCGACTTGCTCATTTTCTATTTGACCCTTCAATACGAACTGAGTAATTGTGTATACAATTACCGAGTACGTCTCACAGGAGACATCCTTAAAATAACTAGTGGTGTATGGCATCGTTCCTTAAGGCAAATTGCTGGAACTTCCTGCACCGTTCTTTGAATCATTTCAATCGGACGCTTAGTTCTCTCAAAAACTGCCATTTTTTCAACATTTTGCTCTGTATCTCCGAAACCGCTGGGCCTATCTTTGCCACTAATAACCACTTTTTCCCGTCATTACGAGTTGAATGTTTTTTGGATCATACAAATCGGATGATCCGTTCTCTGAAAAACTCGATTTCTATTTTCTGCCCTCTTTGCTCCATATCTCCGTAACGGCTGGACCTGCCTTTGCCAAAATCTAATCAGCACATCTCCCTATCAATAGGAATCGAATGTTTTTTAAACCATTCAGATCAGTTGATCCGTGCGCCAAAAAACGTGGACGAAAAAATGTGGACATACAAAACACACACAGATACACACACATAGATCCATTTTTTCTAGGTATGCCAAAATGTTCAGAAACCTTCAAAACATCGAGAAATGCAAAAATTTTCAATTTCGATTTTCGGCCCATTACTATAACTACCCTACGGAATTTAAAACTGCTTGAGTTTTTTTTTGCAAAAGCTTAAACTTTATTTTTGTAATGAACAATAGAGAATTAATAAAATAAATAAGTTGATTATATCCACCTATCTGTAATTTTATGCTATTTGCCTAAGGCAAAATTCCACTTACATGTAGTTAAGTATATGTATTATTAATATTCAAAACTAGTTTCTTAGCTTCTAGGTGTTCAAAGTTCGTTGAAGTCTTAATTGAGTTTAGTTTCTTAATTATGTGACTTATTTTTCATTTTAATGGAAAATAGTTGTAAGAAACTTCTACTACCATGGGATATATAAATTATCGATTTAAACATTTAGAGGAAAAAAAATTATTTAAGCTTTTAGATGTCTACTGAAATATCATGGTAAAGATTTTATATTAATTTAAATTTTAATTTAATTAATAAATGTATTTAATTCCATATACTTAAAAATCTTACTGCGACGAGGGCGGGAAAATTATGAAACCTAATGTGAATGCTTTTTTTATACAGTGTGAAAAGTGTTTTATTCATACCTTTCATCCTGAAAGCTCATTAAGCATATTCCAAGTTTTGTTTTAAAGTAGTTGAGAAAAAACAAAAAAGGCATAGACATTATTAGCAAATAGTTCATGGTTCGTAAAGTTACAACTGAATGCGTTTAATCAGCATCAATTGGTGTAACTTAATTAAAATTTTGTCCTATTTATCTTGCTTTAATAATGATTACATGCTTATATTTTTCAGAATTAAAATGTGTACCCAAGTAACGCACAAGGACTTGCTAACCGCTCATCATGAAATGGCCCATATTCATTATTTCCTTCAGTATCGACACCAGCCGAAAGTTTTTCGCGATGGAGCAAATCCAGGTATGTTATAAAACATTTTATTTTCATTAAAAAATCCTCTGATATATTTGGCATACTTTAAAAAAAATGACTCTTAGATCCCAAATATATATAATAAAAGTAAAAGATAGGTCAAGCGAGTTCAAACTAGTTAAAAAGAAAAAACGTCAACATAAGAAATTTGAAAATATTAAAAAAGTATAAATTTTAGCAACATGCACAATGTTTGCTAAAAACTATTTACATTTGTACCAATACTAAATTAACGATATTAAGTTTTTATATTCGCATTTTCCAAATTTAAGGTTCCGTGCTTACATGCATTTGTTACTTATAAGTCATGTCCAAAGAAGTTTAACGTGAAAAATAGTCTAACATTTTTATGTGAGTGATAAGCGTGAGACACAAAAATGAACCAATAGTGATCTTGATTAACAATTTATTGAAAATTTAAACAAAACAAAGCTTAAAAAAAGAATTAAAGTCAAAATCAGTATAGTCTAGCTGTTATGGAAACTGTAACTACCGTACCCTGGCACAACCGTACCCAGTCTCCCCTACTCAAATAATACATAACTTAATTTTAGTTTATAATATATAACGATTAAAATTTCAATTGATATATTACAAATTACTCAATACTAATATTCTAGTAAATCTGTAAAAGACAGTGTCATAATACACGATAATAAAATATTTTATTATTCCGCCACAAATTCATATTGCAAGTGTATTTTATTTTAGTGATCGTCGTAAACCATAAATGAAAATGCTCAAGAAAGTGCACATAAAATGATCGCTGAATCAATTTTCTTTATTATCCGAGCAAATTTGGAACGGTAGTTATGCAACTACTTTCTTAAAATTACAAACAGCGTGAGTCGGAACACATATGTAGAGAATAAAATATAGTCGTATGTGCTGTAAAACAATGCGAATCGAGAAAAAACATACTGAAATAAGGAAGTAACTTAATGTCCATTAAAAGATTCATGATTTGTCATAATTCTTGTGTAATATGAATGGACATCTTTCGCAATTGTATCAAAATTATATAAGAGAAATAATATTTTTATGAATAGTGCGTATATTGTTTTTATTTATTAACTTCCCGTAGGGCAAGTTATAGTAATAGCAAAAAAATCGAAAATGAAAATTTTTATATATCTTTACGTTTCAAAACCTTCTGAACATTTTGGCATGCCTTAGAAAAAATGGATGCATGTGTGTGTGTGTATGTGTGTATATGTGCGTAAGTGTGTGTGTGTGCAGATACAAATTTTTGTCGACGATTTCGGAAACACGGATAAAGCGATTTGAATAATTCGAAAAACATTCGATTCGTATTGATAAGGGACAAAATGAAGAACTGGTCAATTTTTCAGGAAGGCAGCTCTAGCGGTTTTGGAGATCTAGTAAAAAAAGTTAAAAAAATGTCATTTGGCGGTCAAAAATGATCATTAGACATATGCACATCAAATTATCTGATATTGTTGTTGGTACGGAAAGTTCCAGCAATTTGCTTTAAGGCACGATGCCATGCGTTCCAATAGTTTAACTTTAATTTACGATCAACAGAGACTGCTAACAATATATATGAGAAAATAATATCGATTAAAAATGAGTAGGCGTTTCTACTAGAAATAATATATAAAATTTGTAGATATATTTTAAATGACATAACTTAATTGCTTAGTCTACATTTCACGTTATACATCCATGACCTGTGCCTCAAACTTCAATTCATTTGCAATTTTGTACAAATTTTCTATCAATTGATCTTCTTCATATATTTCTGAATGCACTTAAACTTCTATTTTTTCTTCGATTGCAACGTGAAGTAAAATTGTTTTTGAATAGACTAAAACCAAAATTCATATGTAAAAGTGTACGTTCTCATCCTCTGACCTCTTTACAGTCATCAACATCTTTCAAAACCCTCAATAAATATATGTGTTATAGAATTGATATCAAATCAAATGATTAAAATATTTGAGTTACCTTTGTGCTCTAGATGTTTAAATTTAAATAGTAGGGGAGACTTGGTACTGTTTTGCCACTTTTTTTGATCAGTCATGATTTTGTTAATTTATCAGTAAGACAAAAGTAAATTATTTATCAGTTAGCTAGGAGAAAAGTAAATTAAATGGTAATCTTCGTCGAAATTGTACTGTTCTTAAATACGATGGATTAGTCATAAAATATCAAATCATACAAGGAAAGGGCAAGTGTCACAACCATCCTCATCCCCCAGAATAATAGGTTAAAAATATGGTATGAAACAAAAAAGAATTTTTTAAACAAAATTAACAAGAATTCTTTGTGAAATTTATTTTTTCTTGTATTGAATTTTCTTTTTTTTCTGTTTCATATTTTCTCTTATAATTAGTTAAGTAAGCTTTATTTTATCTCTTTAATCTTCATCCTGAAAGGATAAGAAATACATGTCAGAACCGTACCCAACGCACACTTCGAAAAAACGAATCATCGTTTTGACTGAGCAAAATTATCTAAGCAAAAACTAATTTCTGGTAAATGCCTACTAATGTTTGACATACCGCAAAATAACAAACAAAGTGATCTATCTGTATACAATAAACAGTTATTATTAAAAGAATTCAAACATGAAACTTACTTATAAACTTATTTGACTCTTTCAGCAATGTGTTTTACAGATCATGTTAGTGTAATGCATTACTAAAAGCAACAATATGAACTTGTTCGAACAATCATACTTCATGCTTCCTTCTTTGGGCCATATTTTAAATTCAGTATAGTTTAATATTTATAAAAACTACGAATAATATAGAAATTATTTCAATAAACTTATGTCTGATGCACGGCATTGCATGCATTTATTATTTTCATTATAATTATTTACGAAGGAGAGGGTGAAATATTATTCTGATTCAGACATTTTTCATTACTAAATTAAATCAAGATTGGTACTACGATGTAACTTTAAAATGTTTATTTATCCATGCCAATTTACCTGTTGATATCGGTACGCATACAACGTTGACTCCTGTACGCATACAACGTTGATGCCGGTACGCAAACAACGACAGATCTCTATTCACATACGCGACGACTAATCACAATCCACCCGTATAGAAACGATAGTTTCATCGAGAGCGAATGACAAATCATTGGCTATGAGACTCTTATCTTATCTTATCTGCCGAATCGCACTTCCGTTGAATTTGTTCGGATTTACATCCAAGTCGCGCCTAAAGAAGTTTTACTTAAAAAATGTCAATATTATCTAAATATTTTTTAAACAGATTTATACAAACATGCATCTGCCTGATTAAAAAGTGCAGAATTTTTATAATGCTCTGTCAGCAGGTCTCTAATATTTTAGGATATTCGTTCTTTCGATCGAGAACTCTATTGCCATAAGCTAAACGCTAAAAATAATATTTTTAACACTTAATTACGAAGAAATGATTTGATCGATTTCTACGAAAAATCAATCAGCACAATTCCTATGATTTGATATCTTTCGAACGGTTTTATATTTTCAAAATCAGTTAGGATTTTTTGCAAAAACGTGTACGAAAAATTTTGCTTTAAAAATTTAAGATTACGAGAATGTTTATAAAGTCCCAACGAAATTTTATTAGAATCACTTTATGTATAAAAGCGATCTTAATCTTGTTCCACACCCGCTCCGGTCAAGGTTAATGATGCGGGACCATAAAGAAAACAAACAATGAGTGCGGAAGATGCGCGAAAGTGACGAACGAGGTCACAGACGGCGGAGACATTATCGCAACGCGACTATTTCTTCTGCTTTGTTTCCAGGAAACCAACGAACATATAATGAAAATTTTTATTACACAAAATTATAATGATAAGTTAAGCATTTTTAATATCAGTGTCCAATGAAGGCACATATGGTGCGAGAGTACGAAATTATAATTACCCCTTTACCATCCCTCACTGTTTACTTCTCTAACTTTTGCTTCCACCCATGTCCATCAACTGCAATTCTTATTTATCGTAGTCCTTTTAATATAGGGTAGAGCTGGGCTTAAAGCCCCGTGGGTAGGAAAGTCAACCGAAAATTTTTTAACAACAATATTCGAAACTAGAGGGATATATATATATATATATATATATATATATATATATTTCCTCTACTTTCTATATATATATATATATATATATATATATATATATATATATATATATATATATATATATTATATACGAGATTTGTTCAAAAAGTACCCGGAATTTTCGTTTTTTCAAAAAAATATTTATTTATTCGTCTACATTAATGTGGTCCCCTTCAAAGTAGTCCCCCCAGATATAATACACTTATGCCAGCGTTTTTTCCAATTTTCGAAGCACCCTTGATATTCACTTTTTGATATGTCCTTGAGCACTCTCAGCGATTCGGCCTTTATTTCTTCAATCGAGGAAAACCGCCGTCCTTTCATGGGTCTCTTCAACTTTGGGAATAGGAAAAAGTCACACGGAGCCATATCTGGTGAATATGGAGGTTGGGGCATCACTACGGTATTGTTTTTGGCCAAAAAATTACGAACAAGCAACGACGAGTGAGCAGGTGCGTTATCGTGGTGCAACAGCCATGAATTGTTTTTCCATAAATCGGAGCGTTTTTTTCGGATTGCTTCACGCAAACGTCGCATCACTTCAAGGTAATACTCCTTATTAACCGTACGACCTTGTGGTAAGAACTCTTGATGCACTATGCCGTTATAATCAAAGAAAACAGTAAGCAAAACCTTGACATTCGATCGAACTTGACGTGCTTTTTTCGGTCTTGGCTCACCTGGGCTCTTCCATTGGGACGATTGGGCTTTGGTTTCGACATCATAACCGTACACCCATGTTTCATCACCAGTTATGACCCTTTCAAGCAAACTTGGATCGTTGTTGACGTCATTTAACAGCTCTTGAGCGATGTTCATGCGATTGCTTTTTTGGTCAAAATTTAGCAGTTTTGGAATGAATTTTGCTGCCACTCGTTTCATGCCCAAAACATTTGAAAAAATGTTATGACATGAGCCAATTGATATGCCAACTTCATCAGCAACTTCTCTAATTGTGATTCGGCGATCATTCATAACCATTTTTTCCACTTCTTTCACATTTTCATCGTTTGTTGACGTGCTGGGTCGACCGGAGCGTTCGTCATCTTCAACGTCTTCGCGGCCATCTTGGAAACGCTTATACCACTCGTAAACACTTGTTTTTTTCATAGCAGACTCACCATAGGCTTTTTGTAACATTTCACACACTTTGTTACACTTTATTTCATTTTTTACGCAAAATTTAATACAAATTCTTTGACTTTTCAATTCTTCCATTGTAAAAATCGCCGAGCTCAGAAAAACACGTCGAACCTTAGCGACTACCACAGACAAAGTAAACAGTGAATATAGCTGAAAATTTCATCATACTTTAGGGGCATGTATACCAACACAATAAAAATTTTGACAATCAGACACTCCAGACCCGCGAAATTTAAAAATTCCGGGTACTTTTTGAACACACCTCGTATATATATATATATATATATATATATATATATATATAAGCAGCCGTCGACTCAAATCAAGCAACGTCGCTATCAGGAGATAGCCATGTTTGAAAACCTATAACAAATGCATTTTCTTAAACTTGCATCCAAAAATTAAATTTATAATTTTAATAAACTTTATAATTTTCATATTCGGTCTGATACTTATTAACTTCCCGAAGGAGAAGTTTATGTTTTCATCAAAAAATCCGATTCGCTAATTTTATGTTTTCTCGACGTTTCAAGCCATTCTGAATCGAATGAGACCAAATTTGGAAAAAGTATGTGTGTGTGTATGTGAACAGATTTTTTTGTTGTAATTTGACGTATTCTCGAAAACGGCTGGGCCGATTTCAAGAATTTAAAAGCCATTCGATGTATCTCGACGAGAACTATCGTTTGTCAGTTTTGTGGGACGATCGGCCGAGACGTTTCTTTATAAATAGTAGAAAAGTGAAAAATTCTTCGTCCACATTTTAGCCCGCAATTCTGAACCGATTATGAAAATTCAAAAACCGTTCGAAAGATATTGATTGGGAATCGTGCTGATTAGTTTTCTTGTAATGAAGTGTTAAAAAAAATATTATTATTTTTTTGACTGTAGATACTATAGTCTTCTAGATCATACTAATATATTACGGCCCTACGACAATTGGTTTAACTTTGAAAATTCGTCAAAGTTTGCAAAAATTGGTATCGTTTTTTTGGCATTTGTCAAAATTAGACCTTTGATCGACGTTTTCTCAAAAACGCCTGAACCGATTTCAGAAATTTAAAAGCTATTTGATGTATTTCAATGAGGAATATCGTTTGTCAGTTTTGTGCGGCGATCTACCAAGCCGTTTCTTTGTAATTTGAAAAAAAGTGGTAAACCTTTCGTCCACATTTAAGCTCATCCTACCGAACCGATTTTAAAAAATCAAAAACTGGTCAAAATATATTAGTTGGGAATGGTACTGATTAGTTTTAGGTGAAAATCTACCGAGCCGTTTTCTTATAATTAACTGTTGAAAAAAAAAATTTTTTTTAGCCGATTTTTTTCATATAAAGTTTGTTTTCGATTTTAATGATTTCAATTAGATAAGACGAATTATACGATGCCGCAGAGAATAATATTATATTTTTTATGTTTTATTTATTTAAAGTCATACTTTAGATTTTTCCTAAAAACGTTTTTTAAAGCTTATTATCGAGAAGTTGTGATAGGGTAGGGCGGGGCTAGTTGAGCAAATTTTTACTTAAACGGATGTAGCTTCTCAATGAAAAGTCTCAATAAATTGATATACGGCTTAATGGATTTGATGTTTATTGCTTAACAAAAGTGTTAATACTATTTTATGGTAATAAGTAAAATTTAAAAGCTACAGCTGTTTGAATGCAAAAAGTCACGTATGCTCAATGTACCCCATAGGTGGGGCTAGTTGAGCACTAAGAAAGTATAATGAAATCATAGGTTTAATGTCGATAATAATGAAATAAAATAAGTTTTCAATAACCAGTTCTATATTTATAGTCTTTATTGACAAAGAATACAAAACTTATAGTAATTTGCTTTGAATAATTAAAGAAAAGTAGAATCAACAAAACAATATCGTATCTTAGGAATTATTTTACCATTATATTCAGTATTTTTGTTTAAAATCATTATTTCCTCATATTATTACTCGTAGACTTAGCTTAAATCTTAAAAATAATAAATTTCTGGAAGTTATTGGTAATTGTCTTAGTGACAGAACAAATTTAGCAACTATGCTCAACTAACCCCAACTTGGAATTTCAAAATATAAGTGAGTTTATGAAAAAACCATGAGAATTATACGCAGAATCTCTGTGCATATTAAAAGTACTATAATTATGTGGGAGAATAACATTTACCTGATTAAAAATAAATAACATTTGACTAAACCAAACGAAAACTCGTGATGAATTACTTTTTTACTTTTTGGTCTCAAAATAAACAAAACGCCCGTGAGCCTCACTCATTTGTCCAGCGGCCACTAGCGATCGCGGAATGTTTATTTCTCCCAAACCTCTATCTTTCCGCCATATAGTGCGTATAGGGCGAATAGTTTTCGAGATATTTCGATTGCTCAACTTGCCCCTATGCTCAACTAGCCCCGCTCTACCCTACAGTAACACACCAGGAATTAAAATTATACAAATTTATGTATGCCAAGTAACGCTCGAAAACTATGTGTATAGTATTTTCACTAATTTACATACTAAACATCATCATTCTGGGAAAGCATACTGAATACACTCTTGACTAAGTTATTTGTCATAATATCTATTAAATATAAAAATGTTATTTTATTCAGTATGTCCTGCAAAAATGAGTTTAAAACAAAAATTATATAATTAAATGCCTTTTGTAAAAAATGTATAGACTGCACAAATTCCAAAATATTAATCATGTCTGCAATAAAAGCTAGATTTTTTCTTTATTTTCTACATAATTTTTACAACTGCCCTTATATATTAAGAAAGCAAGAGCATTCTTTTAGCAGCTATACAGGAATTATTCATTTATTTAAGAAAATCTAATCTGAATATTTTCTAAAACCTTTTGAAAAGTTTTATAAAGATCAATTTAGTACCATAATGAACAAGGATATTTCATAAAATAATATTCAGTTTCCTTGTTCATTTATTACTATAAATTATTTTATTACCGTAGTGTTTGCGTAGTATTTTTTTTTTCATAATAAAAAAATGTAATTAAATATTAAATTATACAATTGCTAGCTATTTTATGCATAATGGATATAATGATTGTGCGTTATAAATTATACTAGATGCAGTTTAAATAAGAACTGTGCACTTATTGAATAAAATAAGACAAATAATTAAAATAAAATAATCAGAAATTTTTTAATCCTAAAACTTTAGTTGTTGTAAACAGGGTTGTATAATAAAATTACAATAATTTCCTTTGAATTTACGCGCTTCATTTCAAATTGGAATAATTTTATCAATGCTCTAGCTATGATGATTCTTCTCGATTCAGAGATCTTTTTCCTGCAAATTAATTGAAATAACTAATCTTACCTGAAAGCTTAATTGAAAATTAAAGAAAAATATCAATTATTGAATATTTGTAACTACGTAGATAAATGGCATATGCATCTAGTTAAAGTTAAAACTAGGACAAATATTAATTTACTTAAAAAAAGTTTAATTTTAAATATCTTAAATAAATAAATAATTATTATAAAATTTACTCATTCATGCATGTAAAAATTAAACTTTTAAAGACATTGACAATTTCGATTTTATAATTAACGTAAGCCGAATTTCTTATAAATTGTAATTGTGTAAGCAAATTAATAAAAACTATTATTTAATTTTCATTTACTTGCTTTAATGATTTATTCTCTCTTATTTAATTTAAAATTAATTATAGCATAGTTTTTTACACTCAATAAATCTACTACAGCTTTATGATAAGTCGAGTAATAATATAATAATATATTAATAACAAACTAGTAAGTTAATTGTAAATATGCAATAAAATTATTAATGTATTTTTTATAATAGGAGGAAATGGAAAAATTGGTCTTGTCTAAACCGTGTTGTGCAATATATTATGTTATTTTTTGTGTTTTGTATCTCATAATCGCGTTTTAATAAACTTGCACATAAGATAATTTTACTGCTCGACTTTTTTGTCAGGCAACGCACGCGCGAAAGTGAAAGTTCAATACATACACGAGTCTAAAAAACTTATTACAAGATGACGGATTTTATAATTAGAATATAAAAATATACAATAAGTTGACAGATATAATTTATCTCTAAATTATTGATTTATCCACAGGTTTCCATGAAGCAATTGGTGATGCAATTTCGTTGTCAGTGTCTACTCCTAAACATTTACAAACTCTTGGATTAGTTCATCGATCTGTAGATGATACTCCACATGAAATTAATTATTTATTTGCAATGGCTATGGATAAAGTAGCCTTTTTACCATTTGCTTTAACTATGGACGCTTGGAGATGGGATGTATTCCAGAAGACTGTTACTAAAGACCAATATAACTGTCATTGGTGGAGACTTAGGTAAATAAATAGCTATAATTAGTATAATAAAGTTATCACAAATTTTATAAATATTTATTTTTAGAGAACAATTTGGAGGTATAAAACCCCCGCTGCTAAGATCTGAAATAGATTTCGACCCTGGAGCGAAGTATCACATTCCAGCCAATATACCGTACATAAGGTAAGTGCTATATTTATCAATTAAAACAAAAAAGTTTATTTTTATTTTGTTTTATTATTAGTAAAAATACGAAACTTATTATATACGAGATGCACAAACATGTTCAATAACAGACAACGAAAAATATATTTGGACGAGCTATTCAACATAGAATAATTTTGGTATGAGCTCATTTACTCAATCAACGTTCAGTCAGTGCGAGTGTTCACCAAATCCACCGGATTCTCCATGGATTTCTTCGTGTCCTCCGAAAGAGTGTTCACCGCCTCCATATCCTCCAATTTCGTGACCTCCAAATCCTCCACTTTCATGACCACCGAATCCACCGCTTTCGTGACCGCCTCCTAATCCTCCTCCTTCGTGACCTCCTAAGCTGATGCTTTCGTGATGTTCTTCATGTACTGGTACTGGTACTGGCACTTTGATAAAGTGTGGTACGTGTTTTTCTACTGTGTATGGTACTGGTTTTTCTACGGTGACTGGTACTGGCCTGTCAACTTCAACTTTTACTGGATAAGGTACAATTTTTTCTACTGGGTATGGTACTTTCTTTACTACTGGGTATGGAGCTGGTACATGAACTTTGACTGGATAAGGTACTGGTTTCTCGACATGTACTGGAACTGGACGGTCGACTGGAACCTTCACAGGGTATGGTACGTGTTTTTCAACTGGGTATGGAACTTTCTTTTCGATATGTACTGGGTATGGTTTGGGTACATGCACTGGGTAAGGACGGTCGACTGGAACCTTGACTGGTACTGGTACGTGTTTGATGACTGGGTAAGGTTGTGGAACATGGACTGGTACTTTGACTGGGAAAGGTACTTTCTTCTCTACTGGGAATGGAGCTGGTACTGGTACTTTAACAGCGTATGGTACGTGTTTGGTTACTGGGTAGGGTTGAGGAACGTATACCTTTACGGGTACAGGACGATCGACTGGAACTTTGACAGGGTATGGGACATGTTTTTCAACTGGGTATGGTTTAGGAATATGCACAGGTACTTTAACGATTTCTTTAACTGGATAAGGCACGTGTTTCACAACTGGATAAGGATGTGGAACTGGTACTTTAACTGGATATGGAACATGCTTCTCTACTGGGTAGGGAACATGCTTCTCAACTGGATAAGGCACATGAACATTTTTAACAACGGTTATCGTTTTAACATGATGGTCATCTCCAGATCCCAAAGATAATCCATGACCAAAATCGTGTCCTCCGGATGATCCACCGAAGTCATGTCCGCCGGATGATCCGCCGGATGATCCTCCGAAGTCATGACCGCCAAAGTCGTGTCCTCCAAAACCGAAACCGTGTATTCCACGTTTGTCTTGTTTCTTTTCGGCTTGTGCTGATTCTTCAACCGCGGGTTTAGTATCTTCTACTTTAGTTTCTTGTGCTTTTTTTTCTGCTTCGGCAGACACTAGCAGCGCCAGCGCTAGCAATAGCGCAATGCAATTCTAAAATAAAGAAAACATTTTTAATAAAACTTAATGGTTTAATAAAACTTTCCTGCATATAATTTATGAGTCACTATTATGTAAACTGTTTTCTATTTTTCACATGCACTATTTATCATCCGTAACACTGCGCATCCTCGACGAATTGCAATATCGTAATTAACGGCAAAAGAACTAACATAAAAAACGAAAAAACATATATCTCACCAGTAATTTCATGTTGGTACGTTTGGAGATGTGAAAAGCAAACGAGTTACTGATATCTTCCTGGTCGGGCACAAAGCTTTTATATTCGCGCACTTCACTTTCGCTGTTCAGTACAGCTGACTGCACAGGCACATATAATACATCCCCATTCGCCGTGTGCGCGACGCCGCCGACGGAACTGCGGACGTCTTTTTTCAACATTATTAATTATTATTTATTAAAAAGAGAACAAAAACAGGGCTTCCGAGGATTGCCATATCAGTTGTCTCATTTTTACAATCTATAATACAAATACAAAAATTACCGTTAGATAATTTTAATAATAGATATGCATTAAGTAATTAATTTAGTAAATGCAGATTAATAGTTGCATAAATAATTATAACAGCTTCGTTAATTATATGCTAATTTGGCAGAATCAGAAATGCAACAAAAATATTTACAATACAATGATTATTTAATATTATTTATAACTAATATTTGACGCGATGATCAACTAAATTGAATTTAGTAAATCAAAATAAGAAAATACACAACCTTAGGTCCTATAGGCTGTTGAGCTGGAACTTCTCCTTACTTCGTATTCTTTTTTTCATTAGAATTTATCTAATAGGGTTGACATCTTTTATCGGTGCAGCAATGCCGTGTGAGGGCTATTTTTACTTGGAAACTTATTCCTAACTATATTTCCAAGTGAAAATCGTTGTCACTGCTGTTTGATAATAGGCTGCTCAAAGTGGGTATCGAACCCGGGACCTCTCGTCGCTCTTAACCGCTTACCTACGGGCGAGCTCTTGAGTGTAAATAATGACTACATTTTTATATACGCAAGTTATAATCTATATATCATATCTATATACGTTTATTCTTTGGTGCATTTATTGACGAAGGCAAAAATAATTGAAAACTACATTTATTTCAAAGAATATTGTTTTAAAATTAGGATTCCTATTAAAAGTAGAAGATTCGATAAACTCTATGTTATAACATTAGGTATTTTTATATAGGGTAGGGAAAGGCAGACAGGTCCAATTTGACTTTGAGCAATAATATTGTATCGATCAAACCAAGTATATCACAACAATTAACACATATCAAGCAAACAACTATCTGACTATGTACAGTAAAACTCCCAGCTAATTCATATCCAAATTTTGTCACCTGGTCCTTTTTACCCCATAGGATGGGTAAAAATGTGCAGTCAAGGGACAGATTAAATATTTTATTTTTAATTTCAAATGGATTTTATGTACTAATAAATACATTATTCAACGAAAAATATAAATTTTATGGGTACATTTTTTACAGATATAACACTGTATATAACCTTGATCTGGTATTTTGTCATATTATTATCAGCATAGTTGGAACATTTTTTTATATTAACTAATTTCTTGTAAAAGTGCTTTTGTTAACTTATATATTTTTTATTGACTATTTTTATTTATTTACATCTGCGGGGATTTTTTTTAATAATTACTCTGATATATTTTTGGCTAAGTTGATATTGCCTCCATAGCGAAGAGAGTTTATTCCTATACGGAAAACTGCATGCAAATACAGTAAATATCTATTAAAAATACATGGTTTTTACTCCCAAAAATTTTATTCTTACCCCATTTGGTGTAATTTACCCCGGTTTCCCAACCACCGGTTTACACTATTGTCAAAGTAAAGGCTCAATTAGTTCTTTTTACACCACCCGCATGTAATTTTTTATAGAGGTTATATAAAAAATTGTTGAATCTAATTTAAAAATAATATTAAGAAATAAATATCGTAATCTTAAAAATTATATTGAGGAATTAAGGTCTTGTAGACAAAACAACAATACTTACAACCAAAAAAAATTAACAACCACAGAAAATACTTTTATTATGCTTTTCCGTTTATCTTCCGACAACAACGTCGTAAGAATTAAGGTGATGGCTGGTTATTCATCTTTTTTCCTCTACTTTCAAATATTGTTGTTTAAAAATGTTTAACTTTATTTGTTTTATTTTACCTAGCGATATGGTAGTGGACCTTTATATTCGCAGATTTTTAAGCCCCGCTTCTACTAATATGAAAAAGTAATAAACAAAAAATCAAATAATTTATACTATATAAAAATTAATAATAGATAAAATATTGAAGAATTTGATAACGTAAATAATAGGTTATCCAAATATGCCAAAACACGCAAAATTTATTATTATCTGTTTCTGGTAATTAATAACAATTATATTATATAATAGAAAAATTGCATTAGGAGTAAAATACTAAATATTAGCTGAATAAAAACTAGTGGTGTATAGCATGGTGCACACTAAACTAAGATAAAAACAATTATTACCTTTAGACTTTGAATATGATGAAAAATGTGATAATCATAAAATTTCACGAAAAAACCAGGCTCATGCACTTTTTTTCTGTCTAAGTGCAATGATAAAATGGGTCATAGCATTTTCATACAAATTTTCTATACGTCTTTAATATTTGGGATAATTTTTCAATTTATAATAAAGACAAAAACTATAAGTATTATAAGATACTTATATAAGATTTTCATTTATTGAGACAAAAATCTATCAGTACCAAGACTACGAAGTTTGCTCAGGTAATTATATATTGATTATAAATTATTATTAGATTAGACATTTATTTGCAACAATGGTATTCAAATTTTTAATTCGTTTTTCAATAAATTAAACAGTAAATTATTGATATTTTCGTTCATAGACAAAAATCATTTTTAGAAAAAATAAATATTATATAGATTAAAATATAGAAAATAGATGTAAGAGTAATGGGTATTCTTATAAACTTTCCATAAAATTATAATCTATTATGTAACATAAAAATATCGTAATATGTCTTAATCAAATATCTAACAGCCTGTACTTAAAAATTAGTGACGCCAAATTATATAATCAGTTTTAATACTCATTAAGAATATGCGTACTACAAAATAGATATGTACAAATAACACATATCATTATAATATATATCAAATATATATATTTTTTATTAAATATGTAGATAATTTAAAAATAATATCAAAATTCTTTTAGCAACTCCTTGATAAATAAAAAATGTTTATAAATTAATTTTAAAAGCTTGTGGATCATAAATTTCAAGCTTTATGATGCGGAACTTATGGTCTATAAATGTAATATGCAATATAAACTTTTAGTACTCAAAAGGGTGAATCATGATGAAAACTGCTATAACAAATATTCCTATGTTTAAAAAGAAGTATTATTGCAAATTTGTAAATTTGGAACCTGAACAAAAACAAACTTAATGCATTAAATAGTATATGAATTTAGGAAATCAGAGAAAAAGATACGTTATAAAATCATTTTTTATCTAACAATTTTAAAAACTTCTAGTTATTGAAGAACAAACAGATTTTATGATAATTTTGATTTTTTAAATTTAGTTTTAATCGAATATTTTTGGCATCGTGCCTTATAGCAAATGCTGGAACTTGCCGTACCAAAAATTATTATTTTCAAAAGAGATTATTTTTTTTTTTACTTTGAAATATTTGATTTTTGAGAATTTTGATATTTTTGAAGACAAATTAACTTTTTTGAAAAAAGTATTCTTTTTTATATTCAGAAATAGTTTAAATTTTTTTAAAAGCAATCGCGCTGCTTTAGCTGCATAGAGAAGAATTATCAAAGCGTCTAAGCGCCGCGTCACATTCTAACGGACAAATAATGTTACGGAACCCATAAAAATGTAAACTGAATTTTTACTTATACACCATACTTCTGTGCATATGTCTAATGATCATTTTTGACCGCCAAATAACATATTTTTTTAATTTTTTACTCGATCTCAGAAACCGCTAGACCTACCTTCCCAAAAATTTAATCAGTTCTTCATTTTGTCAATACAAGTAAAATGTTTTCTGATTTATTAAAATCGGACGCTCGGTTCTCTTAAAAACTGAGTCACCGTTTTTGGAACTTTTTGCCCCTAAATATTAATACAAAATGCAAATCTAAAGACAAAATGGATTCTAAGATTCAGGTTTGAGAGATTGCAAAAAATTAATACGAGTATACGACAATAAATGAATTAATATTATAGAAATAATGAAATAAGTAAAGAGATATTTCCATGTATATAAAAATATATCGAAATTTATGATTATATGACTTTACAAAATCTCATGACAAATTGTTTCTCTCTAATTCTTTTCCTGCTCAGTGTTGACCTTACACTGGTTAAAAATGCACGGCAACACATTATATTTATTTGTTGGGAAGGCAGATTGAAGCAGAGTTGTGAATTTGACATCTTTCAGCACATAAAATCTTACACAAATTCATAAAGGTGTGAACACAATCGTAGCTCACCGCAACTCGATAAGAATCATCTGGCATAATCATCGAAGTTAGTAAAACATTATACGAACTTGTCGATGAAGTATCTCGGACAACTACCTTTCTACGGAAGACAACTTGGATGAAGTATCTAAATGCAGTTCTAAAAAAACAACATACTATCCAGATCTAGTTATAAAGTCTTAAGCATCTAGCTAGGCGATTTGACGATTTGGTGAGTTAAAGGACAAGGAGAGATTGAATCGCGATCTCAATGCACTTTTTAGTGATGAATTCAGTTTATGATCCGAAGTCTTGGCTTAATACTAGTCAGAACTAATTATGGTATCAGCGATAACTCGAGGTTTGGACATACAGAATGAGTATGCCAACGGAAGTCCGGTGTCAGGGCTAGAGTAAATGCGTTAACTCGAGTTGACCCGAGGACTGGGCGTACCTTTTAAGTAGCCAACGGAAGACCACTGATTAGGGCGTTGCACCAAAGTCTATATTTTTTAAAATTCTTGATCCATGCTCAATGCTATCTTTATTGTAAATGTCGTAGGTCACCAATATAGAAATATATAAAATATATAAAAAAGATGTTTCCATGTATCTAAAAATATATTAAAATTTATGATTATAAAACTTTATAAAATGTCGTGACCTATTGTTTCTCTAAAATTCATTGATTCCCACAATATCATGAGACGGATATAATTGCATTTCTTTATTTAAAAAATCATCATGGTATATTAAGGGTGTAAGTGACATTAAATCGATATATTATTCTTGGCATAATAGGCCTATAACATTTTAGTACGTTTATTAAGACCTGGAACTCTATCGCTACACAAGGTCTTATTAAAATTGCCAAAGCAA